TTTTTTTTTTTGTAATTAATATTACGGAAATTTAGTAGTAGATGAATATAATTGACTTGAAGAGTTACGTATAGAACAAGGACTTGTGTTTAATAGTATAGTGTTATTGCCTTGAGATTGTCCGAGAAGGATTAAATCGAATCCACCATCACCATTAAAATCACCGATACCAATATAAGCTGGATTCGAAGTCCAGGTTGAAACTTGAATTGATTCTCCAAAACTTCCGTTGTCATATTCAAGCATCACATATACAAAATTTACTGCAGGATATAAACCATAACGTACAGCATCTGGAAAAATAGCGATAGTAATATCCAGTTGACCATCACCGTTGAAATCAACGGCGGTGATTGAGTATGGTGGATAAAGAGTTTTTATTTTAAATATCATTTGTGCTCTAAAACTTCCATCCCCATTTCCAAGAAATACACCAATATTGTAATCGCCTGTGTTCGCAACGACAATGTCCAAATATCTATCACCATTGAAGTCATTTGCGATGGTTGATGTTGGATAACTGGAATCTCCTGTTGACAAGATTATTGGCTCTTTGAAACTTCCAATATTATATCCAAGCATCACCGACACGTAAAACTCATGATTTAGAGTGACAGCGATGTCCTGTTTACCGTCACCATCGAAATCAGCGACAGCAGCCGATGATAAACAAAAATCATCTATTACAGGCAATGTTATTTGAGTTGTAAAAGTTCCATTTCCATATCCAAAAAATAAACCTATACTACAACTTGTAACGTCGATAAAGACGATATCTATATAACTGTCACCGTTCAAATCGCTTGTAGTTAACCAGGGATGCTTAAAATAGAATACATACAAATACTGACTATTACTTGTCAATAGTTGCATTGTTTCAAAAGTTCCATTACTAACTCCAAATAGGATACCTACGCTGCCGCTATAATAATTCATACCAGCGAGATCCTGATGACCGTCATTATTAAAATCAGCGGCAGCAAGAATTGCTGGAACATCACCATTGTTTATGCCCGTTGGAGACGTTATTTTTTCTGTGAAGGTTCCGTCTCCCTTTCCAAGAAACACATATAGATTTGTGTCACCAAATAAAGAAACATATGTGGCCACAAAATCTAATAAACCATCGCCATTGAAATCATTGACAATGGCTGTAGCGAAATCGTAAAACTTGTAAAAATCGTAAACGGACGAACTTGTTATGTTTAAAGAAATTGGTTCATTGAACATCAATTGACAAGTTGATACTAAGAATGAAAGCAATTCATTTAGTTTTCAATACACTATTATGAGACATTTAAATACTAATATATGCACTGTTAATGTGCATTATGCACTAATTCATAGTTTTTTGTATTTCTATACCTGTATACATACTGATGTTTAGCACAGATGTTCAATCAATTATCTTTGAATAAATCTTCTTTTAGTATATATAAAAGGTGTAGTAGTTTAATCCTTTTTTTTATAGGATCCATCTTGAAAAATCATCGATATTCTCACGTCGTATTGAAAAGAATTTTTATACGAAGTTTTATTTAGTAAGTATAATAAATAGATTTTTAATAGAACTTTTATTTCAAGGATTCAACATACAAATATGAATGTTTGTTTTTGGCAAATATAATAGATAGTCTTACTTTTAAAAGATTCAGCTTGACTGATTGAACCTTATATCATCTGAAGATGCAAATTATGGAGAATCGTATATCAATTTCAATATCTACTCATTTTTGTTAGTAATCAAGTAAAGGCAGTAAAATTTCTCGTATACTCTCATTTCATTTTCTAATATTTCGTTCACTAAGAGTATCTTTAGTAGCATTGACTATTTTTAGAAATTTTACGGTCGTCGATAGGTTTCACAGTTTCACTATGATAAACTTTTACCGAAGCAAAATGATTCTGAAGAATAAATATCAATATATTGAATTATGATATAACAGCTTTAGAAGCTAAAGTATTGTACTAATTAATATACTTAGTCAATTATTGGCTAGAAACACAACAATCTAAATGTGACAACAAGTGCATTGATATGCTATCATGAGACTATTTAGGTGCTGTATCAAACAATAGATATTCACTTACACAAGATTGATTATTTTCACCTCAATGTCGTGTGTTCTCATTCTATATCTTTCTCTTTCCTTTGATTTTGCTACTTTAGTTTTGGTTTAAACTTATCCAAAGATATATTGAGAAGTGGTTTTAAATATGTTCTGTACTTGATACACATTAGTATTATATATACACACAAACTTCTTTCTCACACTCTTCTCTCCTTCCATTTCTTATTTTCATTTTTATGTTATACTATGTACAAATGTATATTCGTCGTTAGAGGAAACTTGTTAAGAATAGACAAAATCATTATTGAAAATGAAATTAAATGTATTATTATCAAGAATAATATTTAATCTCACTAAAAATCAATATTGAATGAGTGTTTATCGTTCTTAAACGTTGTTCCAATAGATGTTCTTTAGTTTAACTATTTTTAGACAAAACCAAATCAAAAAATTCAAATGATTTATAAGAACTTATTCGAATGTCTCAACAATTGCCTTTTAGTACTTGTCTTTAAAGTTAATAACTGTTAAAAGAATCTAAATTATTTTAAAGAGTTTCAGATTTCAAGAATATACTGTGAAACTATCGTCAGTTAAAATACTCTAGTAAAAAGTTGTGTTAAAAAACAGAACAATAGAAATTAGAATAATTCATTTGAAATGGTATTATGAAAACTTTCGTTGCTCTCATTTAAAATCATTAGAAAGATTTAGAAAAAAAATAATAAACCATATTTAAATAATTATACAGACCTGTTGAAGTAGGTAATGTTGTTACTGAACTCGTCGTGCTTTTGCCACTAGTGGTTGTTACAATCATATGTGAAAAGTTTGTTTCGTTCATTGATGATCCTAAAAGACGATACGTGGTAATGATTGATTTAAATACAGAAAAATCAATTGATGATAATCAAAACAGAGTTATTTCTCTTTTTTCTTCTCAATCATAGTAAATGTTATTTTGATAAAATCTAGTTTTGAAATCCTAAGTTATGTATGCGTATTTTCCTATTAAAAAAGTATTCAATTGAATCAATATTATAATTTTATTTCAACATAAAAATATTTCATTTACAAAGTTTGTTTTTTTTAATGAGAAAATACAATAGAACAATAACTCACTAAAAATCAACTGTGAATCGGATCTCGTTCTTCTTTGTCTAACTCATGTCTCTCAAATTCCCTAGAAAAAATTCTTTTTTCAATACAAATCTTATGAAATTCTCTATACAATCATAAGTATACTTTGCCTCCAAAATTTCAATCAAGAGGATCAAGTAAGTTATAAACAAGACAAAAAAAATAATTTTTCGCAATTAAAAACTATTTTTTTCGTATTATTTTCGTTAAAAAGTGTAGTAGAAATATCAATTCACTTAAGTTTAGTACTTTCAAATATTCTTCTCTCATAATTTGTAACAATTTTTTTAAAGAGAATGATGTGCTTACGAGGTAAAGCTTCTCAAATACGATAAAAAAATAACAATCTTACATTCAACAATAAACTTCGAAAGAAAAAGACAGAAAATAGAATCAAAGTTGAGGGTGAGTGTGGGCTGGCGTGACTGTAGGTATTATATTTATTTGTAATTAACAACCACATCAACACCCAACAATTTCAATCTCTTACATTCGAATATGATCTCAACCTTATTTGTATATGATATCTAAAAAAAGGCGCTTCAAATCTGGAAATAGACATTGTTCTTTTAGCTTATCGATCGGACTACTTTGACTATCAAAAAAATTGTTTGAAAATAAGACTTTACCTGTTGATACAACTTGGTTGTTTCCTTGTCGAATAAGATAAACAGTGGAAACAATAATAGCGATCACTACCATAATCATGAGTATTATAAACCAAAAGACACAGTTGTAGTTGCGCAGTAACGATGAAAGCCGTCGAGTTCTAAGAGAAAATAATATATATTATAACTAATATAAAAGAAAAAACAGATCTATACTCAGTAGTTGTATTCGTCGATACTAATACTGAATTTACAGTGGTATGTTGAACATTTGTATGAGAAGATATTGTGTCAATAGTATTTGTAGGTTGAACTGTGTTGGATTTCTTCTTTCGATACTGATTCATCTTAGCTACAAGACGAACTATCCATGGACAGATCCACTTGAGAGCAATTGTAAGACCACCATAGATACTAATTAGAAAGGTTATTGTGTAAATTAAGTTAAACTGTTGGATGTAAGTGTATGAACACATCGAAGGTGAACATTGTTCAAAGTACGATGAGTAATTGATTTGTGTAGACCAATCTTCAACGAAAAGAACATTGACAAGATCTCTAACAGTTGTATTAATTAAGAAATGACTACTATTTTGAGAAAGAGGAATAGTAGTATTAATCGAACTATTATAGTTTGTCTGTTCTTGAATAAGTTTAATACATGAGGAGTCATAAAAACATTCAAGAGTTGAAGCAAGAAGCGATTCACTTGGTGTACAGCCCATTTTTAAGCCTTTGACTGGAATGATTTCAGATGCATTGTTAGATATGAAGTTTGCTTGAGTTGTACAGGTTGCATTCAATCCACAAGAACAATTATTATCATAAGTCACGGCTTGGACAAGTGCAAAGTTAATGTATGGGCCAAGTAAAGCTGTATATTCAAAATTGGTTCCATAAGTTGATACAATCGCATTCCCATGGTTTATGGTACGAAGTAAGAATAGAATACGATTGAACGCTGTGGGAGCATCCAATTGGCTCTGTTCGATCAATGAATTGATTTGGAGATTGAACAATACTTCTGATATAAGTTGAGTATTGCTCAATGTAGAAGAAAGAAATTGACTAACAGAATTATTTACTGTTTGAATAGATATTTGACACAAACCATTAAGAAAATGTAAATGAGCTAAAAGGAAACGGCGATAATCTGTTGTATTATAGATAGATAAATCAGGAACAAGACCAGCTAAAAGATTCTCACGCCATTCATTCGAAGCAAATGTACTTGAACAAACCTAGAAGAAATTCAAAATCAAAGAAACACATTAATCGAGACTTCTCATTAAAAATATCATGTTAATCAATTCTAAATTGAAAAAAAATAAGTTGTTAATATTACTTCTAATCATATATTGATGCAACTAAATAGAATTATGATTTTAATTAAAATAACTTATGAAAGAAAAAACTTTAAAGTAAAAATCG